GGCGTTGAAGAGCTTTGTAACCAGCTTTATCGCTTACTCAGCTCCACCATATCCTTGTAGTAAACTGACTTTTCTGATTCCCACCCTCCTCTACGTCAGTTTGATCGTCGACCACGACGATGTCCACCTTGTGTCCCACAGCATTGTGGGTGCAGAGAGGGTGACTTGCGCAGCCCCCAAAGCACTCTCCCCGCCTCTTACACCTGGGTCCGGTGCCCAGACAGTCAAGAAGATCGGAGGGAGGGTTGAGCGTCCCCTACCATAGTATATTCCCGATCGAAACCGACAGGTCAACGGCCTCGTGGCCCAGTGATTAGAGGCGTGGACTTCTAACCAACAGATCGCGAGTTCGAGCCTCGGGTGTTCCACACTTCGGGGTTGGATATGACTGCCTGACGACTGCCAATAAGCCCGAAATGGCCATTCCAGTCTCCCTTGTCTTTGAGGGTAATAAAATTCTGCACATATATATAATACATAGGCAGCTCGCTACGAGTGCAATAAGCCAGACGCAGGCAGCTGTTTCACGGTCGTTACCAATCATCAGTACGTCATAGGCCTTATGAAGTGAGGTATATAAGCATGTCAAGTGGGCGTTTGACCCTCACTGTTGTGGTTAGGATCTCACTCGATCACGCTGCTCATGTATTATATGTGGTATGTGTCCTCTGACACAGCGTTCGTTGTCGCCAGTAGCAAGCTGGCGGGCGGACAGAATGGGATCGAGTGAGATCCTAACCACAACAGTGAGGGTCAAACGCCCACTTGACATGCTTATATACCTCACTTCATAGGGCCTATGGCATACTGATGATCGGTAACGACCGTGGACCAGTTTTCTGCGTCTGGCCTGTTGCACTCGTAGCGAGCTGCCTATGTATTATATGTGATATGCGTCCTATGACACAACGTCCGTTGTTGTCAGTAGCAAGCTGGCAGGCGGACATAATGTGATCGAGTGAGATCCTAACCACAACAGTGAGGGTCAAACGCTCACTTGTCATCTATATATATGATTTTCCTTACGCGGAAAGTATACATATTGTAGACCGAAATCGCTAGACGCAAATGCTATGGCAGATTGGAAGCAGAATTATTCATTCATTGGAAAAGTTGGCAAAACCTAAATAATTCCCTGTTTCAAGAATGAAATTCGAAGACGACGCGATTTTCTACTAAATGAGAAGGAGAAAGAATGCTCTCGGGCATGTCTTCCAATACATTATATTTGAACTTGTAAGGCCATCGAAACCCATGTTAAAATGCATATTTATTGAGTAGTCATTTTCCAACGAGGGCGGCCTTTACGGTCGGAAAGAAGTGAATTCAAAAGCCAACACCTCAGCAAGCCCGAAATACTCTGGGATTATGTCGGGTGATAATAAATATTACAACATCACCTCTGAAATCCTTCCTTGTCAGAAACGTATTTCAGAATTTTGGTTAACATTTCATCAGATCGGCCACTTTCTGTACACCTAAGCCCCTCATCAAAATGCCAAAACTGCGATTATGAACTGCCATGAAAATACACTTCGCTGGACCGACACCAAACGATTAAAATTTTGCCAGTCAAACTGACAGAGGCAACTCGCATGAATTTGGGAAATCACGTAAGTTCTACAGTCCAGAATGGTGAGATTTAACCACCCTCCTGAAATAAACCGTCAGACCGCACTGTATTGCGTGAAAGCGACAAATGTCTGACACCACTCTTATATTACTGTTGAATACTTCTCACATTGCCTGCGAGAATGGTACCAGCAGAAACAACACTCAGGAATGCCATCCCAGATTAAACTGCATACTTCTACGTTGTGCATTTCCTACTACGCCTTAAGTCGATGAACTACTGAACCTTGCCCGCATAACGGTGTGCCACTATGACTAGATATTTTACCATATCAATAGAAGTGGGTCCTCATTACGTTGTCGCATACTGCTCCGCACTTTTTCT